CAGGGCGTCTGAGACTGAGCCTCCATGATGGAGCCAAGCAGCGGAGAGGACAATGAAAGGATAGTGGAAGCAATGATCCATTCCGGGGGAATGATATGGGATTTTTCTTGCTCTTGTATAGACTTTGTATCAAACTGTCTGGATAAGGTGTCAGCCTTGACATTTTTAGAACCAGGTCTATAAGTAATAAGAAAATTAAAGCGAGAAAGGAACAGAGACCACCTAGCTTGTCTAGAAGACAATCGTTTAGCATCTCCTATGTAAGCCAGGTTTTTGTGATCAGTAATGATCAAAAGGGGATCCTTGGAACCCTCTAAAAGATGGCACCACTCCTTGAGAGCTAGAATAATGGCCAACAATTCCCTATTGCCAATATCATAATTGCGCTCGGCAGGAGACAACTTTCTAGAGAAGTAACAACAAGGATACAATGGAGTATCCTGGCTCTCCCTCTGGGAGAGAACTGCCCCTACCCCTGTCTCTGATGCATCAACTTCCAGTATTAAAGGTTTACTGGTGTCAGGATGTATCAATATGTCGTTGGAGGCAAACCGCTGTTTGAGAGTTTCAAAGGTTTCGCCTTAGACCATATCGTACTGCTAACCCCTTTGCGTGTCAAATTGGTGATGGGGGCTATTACTGAAGAAAATTCCTTTATAAACCTTCTGTAATAATTGGCAAAACCAATAAACCTTTGAATGGCTTTCAACCCAGTGGGTAAAGGCCATTTTAGAACCGATTCCAGCTTTTTAGGATCCATCTGGAACCCCGAGGCAGAGATATTATATCCCAAAAACTGTACTTCAGATTGGTCAAAGATGCATTTTTCTAATTTACAATAAAGTTGATTCTTTAACAAGGTCTGCAGAACTTGTCTAACGTGATCGTGGTGAGTCTAAATGTCTAAATGTCAGGAGAATAAATAAGGATATCATCCAGATAGACCAAAACAAACGAGTAAATGTAATCCCTAAGTACATCATTTATGAAATCTTGGAAAACCACTGGAGCATTGCACAACCTGAATGGCATCACTAGATATTCATAGTGTCCACTTCTGGTATTAAATGCAGTCTTCCACTCGTGGTTTTCCTTGATTCTCACTAAATTGTAAGCACTTCTAAGATCAAGCTTAGTAAATACTTTAGCGCCTTGGAGTCTATCAAATAATTCAGCAATAAGAGGAATGGGGTAGACGTTCTTAATGGTGATTTTGTTCAATGCCCTGTAATCGATACATGGGCGCAACTCACCGTCCTTTTTAGATACAAAAAAGAATCCTGCCCCAGCAGGCGAGGATGATTTTCGTATGTGGCCTTTATTCAGTGAATCCTTAATATATTCCTCCATTACTCTACTCTCCTGAGGTGACAGAGCATAGACTGCTCCCTTAGGTGGCATAGCGCTGGGTAGTAAATTAATGGAACAGTCATAAGGTCAGTGAGGAGGTAGAGTATTCCACTGAGTTTTGCTGAATACTTCTTTAATGTCTTGGTACTGTATAGGGATTTCTGGGTTTTGAGGTGTACTAGTGGGTAATCCAATAGTGCCCACTCTTTTGGCAACATTTAATATACACCTTTCATAACAATCCTTACCCCATTCTATTATTTCCTCATTAGCTCAGTCAATATGAGGGTTATGCTTGTTAAGCCATGGAAAGCCTAATATGATCGGACAGGAAGGGGTTGCAATAACCTGAAATGTAATCTCTTCCTTATGTAAGGCACCAATGGACAAATTAATGGGTAAGGTTTTGTGTGTAATCAATGGTTGTGAGAGTGGTATCCCATCAATAGCTTCAACAGCTAGGGGTGATACTATACCTATCAAGGAGAGACTATTACCTTTAACAAATTGAACGTCGATGAAGTTTCCAGCGGCACCTGAATCCATCAGGGCTTTGCATGAAAAGTTCTTCTTTTCAAAGGCAATAGAAATATCAAGGAGAAACCTATTTTTATCTATTCCAGAGGACGTTTCCATTACACCCAAGACCTGTCCCCTTAAGGTGCGGTAGTTTTCCGGACGTATGGGACAATTGTTTCTCATATGTCCTTTTCTCCTATATTGTCTTTCTGTTTCCGACAGTCTAGTGACCCCCAACTGCATGGGTTCGGGTTTGGACTGTACAGGAAATTCAGGGACAATAGGTTTGGATTAGTGGGGCGCTAGAGGCATATTCATGTGTCTGGTCTTGTTTCTAGTAGCTTCTCTGGTTCTCAATCTATTATCAATTTGCATGACAAAAATGATAAATTCATTAAGCTTTTTGGGCAAGTCTTTGGCAGCAATCTCATCTAGCATAGTTTCAGATAGTCCCTTTTAGATGCAGAGATTAACCCACTATTAGTCCAGTCTACCTCGGAAGCTAGGGTACAAAATTCTATGGCATACTCCGAGATAGACCGGTTCCCTTGTCTGATATGCATCAGGGCAGTAGAGGCGTCTTCCTCCCTGCCTAATGGTTCAAACGTAAGTTTAAATTCCGTAATAAACTCCTGGTAATTGTATGCCACACTCCTATTACTCTCCCATAATGGATTGGTCCAAGCTAAAGCTTTACCTTTTAATTGTTTCATCAGGTAACCAATGTTAGCTCTGTCTGTGGGAAAAAAATCCCGGTGAGGCCTCAAAATGATACTCTATTTGGTTAAGGAATCCCCGGCATTCTTGGAAATTACCATCAAAATGTAGAGGAGGAGATAGAGAGATAGTTGGTGCCTTGTATACTATAGGCGGAGTTACACAAGGCAGAGGTGAGACAGTAGGAGCAGCTGCAGGTTGCAGACGCGCTGTACGAGTAAGAAGCGTACTGAAAGCCTGGGCAAATTGATCCAAGCGGTGATCATTCTCCTCTAGTTTCCTTTCGCAAGCAGCTATGTGCTTACACAATTCTACAGGATCTATGGCCATGTCGTAATGTCAGGATTACAGAATGATCCAGCACGTAGAATTGTATAGCACAGAGGACTGATAGGTAACGTATACCGGACCTTAGAATGGACTAACATACCAAAGAATAGTCAGGAATAGCTGTGGTCAAGGGAAACAGAAAGAGACACAACGATAAGGAAAAGCCAGGAGTCAGGTATGCCAGAAAACAGGGAAGTCAAAAACAATGCCAAAGTCAAATAACCAGAATTACCAAAATCAATAACGCACTCTCGGACAACCACAAGGGAAACCACGACAGGGCACTGACCAGGATGAGAACTGGGCCTAAATACCCCTCCTGTAGATCTGATAGGCTGTAACCGGCCTTTGACCCCAAATCAGTTACCAGGTTCCCATTTGAATAATTGCTGCTCAGCATTAACCCTTCTGTGGATTTGGTTGCTGCTCGGCACAACTTTTCCTGTGTGGACAGTAAATGTCATTGACGACATTTTTATAAGCGGATGAATACGTGACAGTATCCTAGTGTGTATGTGCCAGTCTGTGTATCTAGGTGTGGGTGTGTGAATGTGCCAGTGTGTATATCTGAGTGTGTGTATGTGGCAGTGTGTGTATCTTAGTATGTGTATGTGCCAGTCTGTGTAGCTGAGTGTGTGTATGTGTCAGTGTGTATCTATGTGTCAGTGTATTTATCTAAGTGTGTGTATGTGCCACTTTGTGTATCTGTGTGTGTGTATGTCTAAGTGTGTGTATTTTTTTGTCTGTGTGTGTATCTGTGTGTATCAGTGTTTGGTGCACATACTGACACACATGCAGATGCACATACACACTGATACACATGCAGATATACAAACACATAAAGATGTACAGACACACAGATACAAACATTGCCAAACATGCAGATACACAGACACACACATGCAGATACATAGACACACAGATACAATCACTGACACGCATACAGATAAAAACAATGACACACATGCAGTTACAGACACAGTGATACACATACTGACACAGTGTATAGATAAGTGTATTGGCTGCAGTGTACACACAGACACACCCTACCACATATATAGACACACTACATACCCAGCACACACACAGACACACTTCATCCCCAGCACACACACACACACTTTACCCACAGCACACACAGAAACACTTCATCCCCAGCACACACAGACACACTTCTTCCCCGGCACACACAGACACACGTAATCCCCAGCACACACATATCATTCCCAGGACTCACACTTCATCCCCAGCACACACACAGACACCAGGGCACCCTTCAATAATATCCCCAAAACAGAGTATTCCCAATAAGTAATCCTTAAGAGCTATACATCCAAGGAGAGCTCTGTTGTAGGGGGCAAGCTGTCCCAAAAGAGCTCGGATTGGAGGTGTCTAGCCCACTTGGATTGGAGGTGTCTAGCTACCATCCGATGCAGAAGATGGTAGACCATAGTGTTAGGAATACAACTTCTATGCCTAACACTATAGTATATTTTTAAAGATAACTTCCAGTGTTTTTTTGTTATAACTATTATTTTTTTTTTTTTTGCAGTGCATGATAATGGTACAGACAGGCTTGAGGTGCCCCAAGAGCAGTCCTCAGGCTATTTCTCCGCTTTACATGCGGGCATACGAATAACATGCACAATTTTTTTTTTGTTAGCAGGTTTAGTAGCTTAGATCATACTGTATGCTAATTAGTTAACGAGACTTACATTTAGTGCTATGTCTTGCATTCATAACAGGCAAGGATAGGTCTATAAAAGTAACATGCTATGTTATGTGCATTAATGACAGATCTAGTGGTTCTTAAGGCTATATCTATGTATTTTTTTTTTTTTTTTTAATATACATCATTGCTCAGACCTATTCACAGTAAAAGTACAACGCATGCCTGAGTGGGTCATACATTTATCCTTCAGGCCAAGACATGCATTAATATGTTACGTGTGTGTTTTTTATAAGAGCATAGTTTATGCCGGTCGGCGTTACATAGGGGGGCTGGCATTTTGTCAGTGTCCCTTTGTAGTGAGTTCACTGGGCCAGTGTCAGAGTCTCTTTCACCCGATACCTTCTTTGCAGAATTAGAGCAATTCCGAAACTGTGCGGGTGTCATTGAGGGTGTCCTTCCAGCCCCAGGCTGGCATGCTGGCCTGCATCTTCTCTCCACAACCTTGGCTACCGTTAGGGCCCAGGTTACCTCCACTTGTGGGAGTGACGGAGGAGCTGGTCGTTTCCGGTCGCTTGCGGTGCTTTTTCCTCTGCCCGTGTGGGCGTTGCCTCTGGGCTCTCGACCCGATGGCCTGCAGCCCAGATGGGCTAGGTTGCTTCCGTGTGAGTGGTTTAGGCGGCGTTATGCCCAAGGACTTTCCTCTCTCTCCCCGCCATCTGCGGTTCCGCTCACCCATTGTCGATAGAGCAGGTATCGTGGGTCGGGCTGCTTTTTGCGGCCTCAGGAGTGTGTCCCAGAAGCGGTTCAGGATTATCATTAGGTTCTGTTGGTTAACCAGCCCACTATTAGTTATTTGTTTTTTTGGGTGTATATATAAAATAAACACTATTATAAAAAGGGGGCAAATGAATACTGTAGCCTTATTTAAATAATGTAAAATATATAAAGTCTAAGTTATAGTTGAATTAAACTGTTTTTTGTAAGAATATCTGCGACTTTCAGATAATTGGGTTATAGTTTTCCTGTTTTTTGTTTTTTTTGGTGTTTTGGGTCTGATTTTCATATTTGACATTAGTTCCAGCTAAGGCAGCTGTCTGAACAGTGATCGCCTTTAGTTACCCGGAACCTTTGTGCGTGTTCTTTGTTTCCGGGGGTTCCTATACTGAATGCACTGAAAGCTTGGTTGCTTGGATACCGCTGGAGAGCCGGTGTTCGCTACGGTCAAGATGCTGGGGGAAGAGGAGGAATTGTCCGTGAGCATCGCCCATATAGTGCAAAGACTGAAGGGGTCCAGACTGCACTGCCAGCTGGAGAGGGAGGCTCGGGTAAGGCACGGGCTGGGGGACACACGAAGGTTTAGGGAAGGGAAGGGCTAGAATGGAAGAAGGAGGCTCGGATCAATGAAGGGCTGGGTTGGGGGAGGAGGAACGGGTAAAGGGAGGGCTGAAAGGGAATGGGAGGTTTGAATAAGACATGGGCTGAGAGCAGCCACAGAGCTGTGCAGTGCTGGGGATGGGATCAGGATTGACTGCCTGTGACAGGGATAGAGGTGTGATCTGGGTAGATTCACACATTGCTATTATTATTATTATTATTATTATTACTATGGTATTATTTATATAGCGCCAGCAAATTCCGCAGCGCTTTTCAGTGGGTGGATTAACAAACATGTAGTTGTAACCAGACAAGAGAGGTTAAAGAGGCTCTCCAGTGCCAGGAAAACAATCTGTTTTCCTGGCACTGCAGATTACGTCTCCCTCCCACCCCCCATCCCATGGGACTTACCTGTATCCAGCGCCGATGTCCCTCGGCGCTGGTTCAGGGTCCGCCCAAGCTTCTCCCCCGCCGACATCATCCGGCGGGGGAGACCTACTGAGCATGCGCGGCCACCGGCGGGGGAGACCTAATGCGCATGCGTGGTGATCACGCGCATTAGATCTCCCCATAGGAAAGCATTGAAAAATGCTTTCCTATGGGGTTTCAGCGACGCTGAAGGTCCTCACGTAGCGTTTTCGTGTGCTATAAACCCGGAAGTGGCTGTCTAGTAGACAGCCACTAGAGAAGGAGTTAACCCTGCAAGGTTAAATATTGCAGTTTATGAAAACTGCAATAATTACACTTGCAGGGTTAAGGGGAGTGGGAGTTGGCTCCCAGATCACTCCAATGGGCAGAAGTGGTCTGGGTGCCTGGAGTGTCCCTTTCAGCTTAGGGAGGGGTAAGGTGACACAAACGGTAAGGATAGTATTAGACTAATGACAGTTGCAAGAGAGGAAAAAGTCAGGCAGTGGGGCTCCTGGCCAGATTCCTATAAGTTCCCTGTTAGTGGCAGTGGGGCAATACACCTTGGGGTCCCTCTGTCAGTGCACGCATGTGACCTGGCCAGTCTCCCACCATTTCATCCCACTGTCAGATCAGGGTATGACAAGATCAGAGTTGAATCTCTCTCAAAGTCTTTATTTTCTGCTCTCAGTGTTAGGAGTGTGACCTGGCTGGACACACCTCTACATTCCTCTTGCCATTGCCTCAGGTGTGACCACACTAGATTCACACTTTTACATCTGTGCTGGGTTGTAACTTGGAAAGACTTGGATAATTATCTACCTTTGTCAGTACGCTGGCTAGAATTATGCCTCTATCACACCACATAGGACCCTAATATCTATGGACACTAATATACTATATGGATACGAATATATTGTACATTTTTTATTCACATTTTATAATATATTTTTCCCATACATTGTAAGGATGTAAAGGGGAGACACGTTAGATGGGTTGTTGCCCCTCCTTCTCACTAAGGCAGGTCTGTAAAGCCCAAAATATATGCAGAGATCCCAGACCCCAATATACAGCCCCTAATGTCCCTAGTGTGTGCCTGTCCTTCATGATATGAAAGTACAAGTGGTGCAGTTTTTCTATTATAAGCTGATTGTTCCCATCAGCAAGAGAGGAGCCTGGGTTGCATCTGGGGCATACTGGAAGGGGATTTGTTGCGAAGAGCAGCATGAGAAGGAAGAATCTGGAAGGCTGCTTCATTACACCATGAAAGCTCACATGGAATAGAACTAGTTTTTTAAAAAAAATATTTTCCCTTAAAGGACCACTCTAGGCAGCCAGACCACTTCAGCTTAATGAAGTGGTCTGGCTGCCAGGTCCCTCTAGGATTAACCCTTTTTTTTTTTTTAATAAACATAGCAGTTTCAGAGAAACTGCTATGTTTATAAATGGGTTAATCCAGCCTCCAAAGCCTCTAGTGGCTGTCTCATTGACAGCCGCTAGAGGCGTTTGTGTGCTTCTCACTGCGAAAATCACAGTGTGAAGACGCAAGCGTCCATAGGAAAGCATTGTAAATGCTTTCCTATGAGACCGGCTGAATGCGCGCGCAGCTCCTGCCGTGCATGCACATTCAGCCAAAGAGGAGGAGGAGAGCTCTCCGCCCGGAGCTGGAAAAAAGGTAAGTTTAACCCCTTTCATCGCCATCCAGCCCGGTGGGAGGGGGCCCCTGAGGGTGGGGGCACCCTCAGGGCACTATAGTGCCAGGAAAACAAGTGTTTTCCTGGCACTATAGTGGTCCTTTAAGCAATTGAAATGCACTTGGTGTGCATTGTGTTCCACAGGTAAGGCCCTAGTGCACAAAATGTAAAAAAATATAATAGCCAAACTGAATGGGAAATTGTATTAAATGTATCAGAATATCAGTATCAGCGTTATGTGAACCACTTATAACTAACAATTGTTTCCACCATACATGCCCAGAAGTAAGCTGTGAGGCACCTTCTGGTTATCCACAGGCAAGGGTTCTTGTTGTGTTAAAATTCTTATATACATTTGTACATTTTGTTAAATTAAGACAGGGGTCTTTGTTGCTAAAGTATTGACTCCAAAATCCAAGCATATGGAGTTCACTTTTGAATAAAATCCATAAACTACTTTATTCACCTCTTGAAGATCAAAAAGCTAATTGTATAAACTCGTTGATCTCTTTCTGCTACCAAGAGACGCTCAGTTTTACATAGAGATTCATATTTGAATGCCTCAAAAATAAAATAATTTATTGATTTTTATTGAAGAGTGGATGTCATTGCATTGGGTTTGGATTTCGGAATCAGTTTTTACAGCATTTTGCTGGTGGTGTTGCCATAGGAAGGATTGACAACCTTCTGGAGTTTGCCGGAACAGTGAGCTGAATATTTATTGAAATTTCTAAGAAATCTGAATGCCAAAAATTGAGGCAATAGAAGCCAAGCTGTGACTGTATATGATTTATATTTTATTATATTATTATTATTTGTTATTATTTTTGGCATTTATATAGCGCCAACTTATTCCACAGCACTTTACAATATTATAAAAAAGGGGAAATTTAGCAATAAATTAGATAATTACAAAATGTTACAGGAACAGTGGGTTGATGAGCTTACTGTCTAGAGGAGGTAAGGTAAAAAAACACAATAGGAAGGGCTAGCAACCAAACAACATGGTGGTTGTGAAGCAGCACTGAAGGTGAGAGTGGAGTGCGGCCCTTTAGGAGAGAGCAAGTGACAGGTATGTGAGATGTGAGAGTCTGATGGGGGTAAGCAGGCTGTTCCAAAGGAAAGTAGCCGCCCGTGAGAAGTTCTGCGTGAGTTAGCAGTAAGGATGCCAGCAGCAGACAAGAGAACGTCACCAGCAAAGTGGAGAAAATTAGTGAATAAATACAATAGGGGCTAAAGTATTTTTTTTTGGTAAGGTTTAGTATTTTGAATTGACTAAGAAGCCCATGTAAGGATTAACAGAGGGGCGAGGTGTGAGAGGAGCGACTGAAGGAAAGAATCAGCCTGGCAGCAGCATTCCTTATAGACTGAAGCACAGCAGTACGGCTTTTGCGGAGACCAATTAGGAGAGAATTACAGTAATTAATGAAATTACTAGGGCTTGAACAAACTCCTTAGCATCTTGCGTAAGAAAGGGGCGGATGCAAGAGGACCTCAAATCAGAGATGGTAGAAAGGCAAGCAGTGACAAGGGGGGAAAGAGATCAGGGGAGGAGATGCATATCTTGGTGTTATCGGCATACAGGTAGTAATGGAATCCAAATGTATTAATGTAATCCAAATTTATTAATAAGTTTGCCAAGAGAGGCAGTATAAAGAGAAAACAGAAGGGGACCGAGAACTGAACACGCATTCATTCTCCTTGCCAGACAGCTTAAAAAAATTGCTATGTGTGGTCTTTTTATAAGGAAGTTTGCATTTGCATTCCGAATGTAACTTTGTGGTTCTACTGCAGACCCTCCCAGCTTGTCAGTTGATGCTCACAGCCTGTCACTAGCTTCCCATTCTGAAAACTATGTGAGAAAGTGTGATGCTCTCAGCTTATCTCCTACATCTAGTCTGAAGATCCCTCATTTAAGTCTTGAATTTAACAAGAAAATGGGATTAAACTGTTAGTAAATGGTTTAACCCCTTAAGGTAAGATGGTGCCCTAATGGCGCGCCAGCCAACATAGCAACTTCATTGAGGTTAAGCCATTATTTTGCCTTGATTGTTCCTTTTAAACAAATTTGACAAAATAGAAGCAGAAAGAAAAAAAATAGAATATTCTGTTCATCATAAAGAAGCACATATAAGCGTTTCTTTCAGCAAAACATATTGTCTTACTCCTATCAGGGATATGGAGAGAGAGACAGAATGATAGACCAGCATTATAGTTGCCAACATTTGAAAAATAATTTCCAGCGACACTTTGCAGCACAGCT